ATGTTTAAAGAGAATGTGGGGCGCTAGAACTAATGAACTATGAAAAAGCTACAGTGTTAGCTAAACATGTGATATATATTTTTTGATAAAGAAGACCAAATCGTTGTTTATGAAATTATTATTAAGCTATCAACAGTACTCGGAAATGTCAAATGAAAATGACTATAGTTCAGGTCAAATGTAATAATAAAATAAGAGGATATATTATGCAGCAGGCTCTGATCATTAGGATGGACCAAGAAAGAAGAGCTAAACATAAGAACGCCCGAATCAACCAAGAGGTTGAAGATAGAGGGACTTATGATCAGGGTCAGTAAGTATTATAAATAATAATAGGAAAATATATCTGGTAACGCAAACAGAAAAACCTAAGAAAAGAGGTAAACAACTGCTTAAACAAAGCAGGGATTGTCTCAGAATAATTACCAAGGCTTCTCACTAAACACTATTCATTCAGAAAACTCCCAAACGCAGATAATGCAATAATCTAATAGATAAGCTTGTTATAATGTTTAAAGAGAATGTGGGGCGCTAGAACTGTTCAAACTAACAGGAAAGCTTGTTATAATGTTTTAAGAGAATGTGAGGCGCTAGACCTCTTCAAACTAGTACAGAAAAGAGATGAAAGGAAAAACTACAAAAAGCACATGGGTCTGTAGCATTTTCTTGAAACTTACAGGAAGTATACAAGTCAGATGTCAAAAAAAACATAAAATTTCACAGAGATAGATGTTGATAAAAAGAGTATCTCCTTTTATTAATGGGTCAAACTGATACTAATAGTATATCAGTAACTTATAGAGTTGAACTAGAAGCTTACCCTTTGTATATACTGTTAAAAGTACTCCATTACAGTTTGTATTGTGGAGGGGAAAATATATGAAAGAGGTCAAAATATCAACAATACCTTTGTCCTCACCACAATAAGAATTTAGTACCGTAAATTGTTTGATCTATGTTTATATATTCACTTTTGTAAGGACTATGTGTGTTTCAAGGTATTCAGAAGCAAAGGCCTCAGTACCTGATTCCCAAAAAAATTATTACCAGAAAATGACTCCAGCTCAGGATAAAACCCTTTGGTCAGGTTTGATTTCTCATTTGAAGAAAAACGACTTGCTACCTGTGGTGGCATTCACTTTTTCGAGACAAAAATGTGACAACAACGCCACCAATCTAACAAATTTAGATTTGACCACTCAGAAGGAAAAAACCCATATAGCAATGTTTTTCAATAAGTGCATCAGATGCCTAAAGGAGCCAGATCAAAACATCCCGCAGATTATAAAGATGAAAGATATTCTTACTCGGGGTATTGGAGTTCATCACAGTGGAATTCTACCCATTATCAAGGAAATTGTAGAAATGTTGTTTCAACGAGGACTTATTAAGGTAATTGGAAAGAGATTGAATTAATACACTAAATCTTTAATTATTACCGGAAAGAAAACTTAAAAAGTAACTCAAATATTTAATTTCCATGAATAAATTCAGTTTAGTTCTTCATTTTCAGTTGCTCTTTGCTACAGAAACGTTTGCCATGGGTGTTAACATGCCTGCAAGAACAGTAGTATTTGATTCTATCAAAAAGCATGATGGTAAGGAGCTGAGAGAACTAGAACCAGCCGAATATATTCAGATGGCAGGACGTGCAGGGAGAAGAGGTCTTGACGCTGAAGGCACTGTTATCATTTTATGCAAATTTGGTTTTCCGACTGAAGATAGTTTGAAGAAAATGATGCTTGGAAAACCTAGTTCTTTAGTGAGTCAGTTTCGACTCACTTATGGAATGGTAATAATATACTCATTTTAGCTAGAAATTCAATTACAATGGTTTTATTAGTCAGAGATATAGAAATTTGCTCTTCTTCAAAAACCCTTCTACAATATAAGTAAAAATGAACGTAATATTTTTAAAAATTATCGCCTAATAAATTTTATTATCATTAAAACAGTTCTATTTTTCTTTCAAAAAAACGAAATTGCAGTATTTTGTATATTTGGGTTGTACACATCCACTGCATCTACTGACGTAGTAGGATTTATCGCCAAAAGGTTTGCAATTTCATATTTAAACGCAATAATAATAATCTGTGAATCTCAATTTTCACAACTTTTTTGCAATTTCAATATGATGTTTTCTTTTGCATAAGAATTCCAAAAAAGGAGCAAATAAACTCTAGAAAGAACATTTTCCGTGATGTATTTCATTAAGGACAATGAACTTCGCCCTTTATTTCAATTGTAAGTTGAATATATAAGTTATGTTGTATTTTTTGTTTTGGTTATGAAATAATGAAGGCGATATTATTATAATTTCCATTCACCGTTAGAAATACCCATTATTGTCGAATTCATTTAATTTTCTTGGCCTTGCTCGTTTGAGCTCTTTTACTTCATATTTACTGAAAATACTCAACAGAGGTGGTGAGAAATATATGTAAGGTTCAATTTTAGGTTTTGAGTTTATTGCGAGTGGAAAGTCTTAGTGTGGAAGGAATGATGTCAAGGAGTTTCAGAGAAGCTGACCATCAGAAGAATATGGTGGACATAAAAAAAGAACTGGAACGAGTAGAGAAACTCACGACTGAATTGTGTAGACAACAAATAAGTAGTTACTTACAGCCACTAGTCAAATATTATGAAGTAGCCAATTTGTACTTGAACATTAGAGAAAATACAATGGTAAGACATCTTATGCAGTCAAAAATCCTCAAACTTCTCAATTGTATAATTAATAATCATATAACAAAAAAATCGTTCATTATTCTATTTTTTAATAGTTTTCATGAAAGCCTCTAAAATATATTCCTTTGAATTTGAAGTAGCTGGTCACAGTGGCCACATCTTTTGTTTGTATGTTTACATCGTCGACTTGACCATCAAACTATTTTATGTTTTTTTTTTGTTGCAAACGTACAAAAATGATTTAAATAATATTCGCTCCGTCAAAATTTTCAGAGTTCTCTCAAATTCTCAGAATTTTCTCACTTGAAGCATTTAATAAGTCCGAAATCTCATTTCAACTTACACTTGTAGATTCTATAATTTACATAATTACTATTTTTTGTTGTGGGTCACTCCTTTTTTATATTTCTTTTTCGGTTCAAACTTGCATGATTTGTTCTAACTCATACATAACTGGTGTGCTTGTCAAAACTTTTGCTTTATTTGTATTTGTAGAAAAAACTTCGAAATCACTATGTGATTTCTGTTTGTGAGTTTGCAGTCAATTTTGAGGATGCCAGAGAGTAATAAAAACTCCTTGGTATTACGTCAAGCTTTTGGAAATGTTTATTTCCTTCTTCAGAACAAAAAAATTGTTAACAAATTAAAAACATAGTTACAATTTCATAGACTGGATGAGACTACTTACTGTCGTGAGTTTGAAAGAAGCTAGTTCATTCATAATAATCAAAACTTATCTGTCATCTTATGCAGAACAAACAGTATACATCTAGATTTAATTTGAATTTCAATATACATTTAATTGTAGATTGAAATCTTAATTGTACAACAGCATGGTTCATTTCCTAAAATATTCAAAATATGGAAAATTGATATGGATGCAAATAGGTACATTGTAGCAGTGTTCCTCGATTTTAAACGAGCTTTCGAATAACATATCTTCCACATTTATATCAGCTTTTCAGTTCATTGGTCTATCGGGAGTTGTACACTCCATCCTCTGATTTTATTTATTTTTATTATTCTTGTTATACTTTTGCTTGTATTTTCAAAATGTGATTGTTATAACAGTATTATGTATATTAGGATTCCTATATTAATAAATGCTCTTATTATTATAAGCGTAGAATATAAAGAGGATAGGACCTAACATTTACCCCTGCGGCACTCCCATTTTAAGTTTACGTTTTTCTGAATTTTCTGTAATATGTATCCCATAATTATATAGGAAGCATATGTTTATTTTCAGTCCAGTCCATGGTCCGATTTTATTTTGAAATTTACAGATACCACCGAAATTTATTTGGAATGTCATATTAATGTTTACCACTCTTTCAGAATGCTGTTATGAATTCTTCAAAAGTCCAAAAGATACTAAGCCCTGGACGAATATTAGTAGTGACTCAAAAACACCATATAAATAAACTAGCTCTGCTGCTGTCAACTATTCGTTCTAAACACCTTCAGTTCAAAGTGTTAGTGCTCAGTGATGATACAGCTCAAAAAGACAATGATCCAAAAGAGGATCGCTGGTATCATATGTTGAGTTTGGCTCAAGAAAAACTTTTTAGCCCGGAAGGAACACCCAGTCATGAAATATTAACAGTTTCTGCAGTAGACATATTTGAAATATCAAACAAAACTGTCAAAACAAATTCGGAGCTGGTCATAAGAGATGTGGAAAAACGACAAATGGAGCGTTTCAGATATGACCCTCCTGGCAATACTTGTGTTGAAGCAGTACAAGAACTGTATAAATTCACTATGTTAGCTAACACTAATGATTCTTCCAACAAACTTGAATATTACCACTTCATCATGGACTTGAAAATAAATGAGCAAGATTTGTACCAAGCATTGAAAAAAATGTATGACGCCAAAGATAAACTCATTGACTATTTACCCGGTACTCGAATTCCAAATTTCGAGCAGCAATTTTCATCGGTGTTTATGAGGAAGTTTTTAGAAGGAAAGAAAAAGGATCTCGAGTTTCAGTTATCAAACGCCAGTTTGTCATTATATCCAGATTATGAGAATAGGATAGAATTGCTGAGAAAACTGAAGTATGTTGATAACCAGAATAAAAGTGAGTACAATTAATTTCATTTTCAGTATTAGCTAAATCTGTAGAAATCTGTTCATAAAGATCAAGCGCTTGGAATAAATTTGCTAAATTATTGCATCGAAAGAAAAACTTTTTTTGATCAGCAGGTTTTTGTTACTGTAATAAAACATCAAGTTCCTTAGTTATTACACTGGATCCAACATTAGCAAATTTCTTTGTATTTAGAAATTTATTTCATTACTGAGTAGAATGGAACTGATAAGGCAAAAATTATTTTCCAGTTGAACTCAAAGGTCGGGTGGCCTGCGAAATTGGTATGAATGAGCTTTTAATAACAGAATTGGTGTTGAGAAATATACTCACTAAACTGAGAGCAGCGGAAGTAGCTGCTCTTTTATCAGCATTGGTATTCAGGGTAAAATCTAGAGGAGAAGTTTTTGACGACTCAGGTCTAACACCAGATCTGAAAAGGGTGAGTATGATCAGTATGTCTAACATGTAAGACTTTCTCAACAAATATTTGGGATGTCAATGTTTTTCATCAGTATATTAATTGGAAAATATTTCAGGAATTTGATAAAAACAGTCTATTGTGTTGCAGATATATTTTCCACTTCTGAAATACAACTTGTGTGGAAAAAATTGTACATAAATTTAGTTAAAGTAATATAATATTTTGTTAGAATATATATTTGCAGCATAACATTGTATTTCTACTACGTTTCTAAAAGTATCTCTAAAATTTTTCATTTTATGACTTAAGAGAGTAATACTATCACTCAACCAATCCTATTTGGAAGAGTGTTTTCAGCATATTAGTTTCAATAGCACAAATTCTGATGATCTTCCTATTTTATAAGGCATCCCACAAGGTTCAGTTATAGGGCCGTTACTATTTATAATTCTAAGTAAATGACATACTTGAAATATTGCAACCTACTAAATGTGTAGTATATTATTTGCTGATGCTACTAGGCTGATATGTTCTGGAAGCCAACATAATGAAATCAAAGAATCAGATAGGTCAGAAGATTAAGCAGAAATGTGGTTTCATAATAATAATAATTGAATTTAAATAAAACTCAAACACTGTTATTGTCGACACACTTGTTGTATAACAATCGACAAAAAAATCAAGTGGCACTAGCACTAGCAAACACATTTTCCTTCTGAGACATATGTGTAGTGCATACTGAAAATCTGAAATTGGTGTTTTTTTGTTGTTTCATTGTCACCCAAACTATGGAGTAATTCTAAGGGAAAACTTGGAATACTGTTCTTATTCAATAGAAAAAAGCCCCGTGAACACTGGCTAATGCACCTTACAAATATTGTAGGTAGAATAATTTTTATTGCTTTTGCCATAATGTTTTTGCCATCACTACATAGTATAAAACAAAGTTGCTTCCCGCTGTCTGCCCCTATGTATGCTTAGATCTTTGAAACTACGCAACGGATTTTGATGCGGGTTTTTTCAATAGATAGAGTGGTTTAAGAAAAAGGTTTATATGTAAATAACATGCATGATATAGTAGAGAAACACTGATAATTTTAGAGGTTTCTAATGTGATGTCATAAATAAACACATTTTTGCGCTTACATTGCAAACGCTAGCTGAACCCTACTACAGTATTATACACCTTAAGAAGGTCTACAAAAAAGTCCGCGATGGTATATGTCTATCTCTTAGGGATAACCCAAAACAATAATTTTTTATCGTCGAGAAATAATGGCTTATTTACGAAGTGATTTGGAGGAATACAGCATTAATCCTTATCCAATTACGTACTGTTCAGTGTGTGCTTGGTCGAGTGTGAATAGGTGTGAACCACAATAAACTCTTGCGGGTTTCGGTGGAGGGTCGAATAGACTCACTCACTTTTGACCTAACATAACCTAACCGTTCAGTGTCTCTGCATATGTAGGATAATAAGGGACAAATGCTAAATTTGTATCAAGAAGAAAATATATGAATGAAAAATGACAAAGTGACATCGAGATATTTGAGTATTGAAAAGTGCATTAAAACATTTTCAAAATTGGACTGAAAGACTTTACTGGTACCTCTAGATCCTCTGCGAGCTACGTTTTCATAAGGAATTTCGGACAATTTATGAATCAATGCTTTTCTTTCAAAGAAATAAGACATAAACATAAAACAAAAACATCAAAATGGTATACTGAAGAATTGAAAGAAATGAAAGTAAGATTAGATGAAGAATAATAGAAAAAAGCAATGATCATTCTATAGAATTGCTGAGAAACAATGAAATGAAAAATGTGACAGGCCTATTGAATAATATAACCATAAAGTTTTACCGGATATTTTATATAACACAGGGATGGGAGGTCATTCTCACAAATTATTTTCAAAGTCGAAATCAATATGTAATGATGAATAATTGTGAAATTTTTGAAGCAGTTTCAACTTTTGATGAACCACAAGAAAGGTTTTGGCTCTCTACTTCACCATCTTTATAACATGTGGGAATCTTTCAAATAAAGGAAGAAAGCTGACATTTCAAATTAACTCTTCACAAAGGTGTGTAGATCATGCAAAGAAGTAACATTCAAACATAAACTGGAGGAAAAAACCCTCTCGAAACAACTTCTTTCATATAAATACACAAAAGAAAAAACCTTTTGATTCAACTACTTTTATATGAACATTGAATTATACAAAAAACTAATTTTTCTATTCTCTTCGTACTCCAGAAATTAATTTTAGAATTGAATCTGATATCATTCACAGGATTGCTACACAATATAGTATATGAAAGAAGTAACATTTCACTTACATGGAACACTGTCATCCTCAATGGCAGACAATGGTGTTTCGGAGTAAGAAATTTACCTTATTACCACTTCAGCACCAATCTGAATAACATTGGAAGATGATGCACTCAATTCATTCATAACATCACGACTTGATGCCACAGATGACTTGAATCTACTCATTCGTTTATTTTATTTAATCCCAACTATAGGAATCTTGTTTAAATTGAAAGAGTATATTTTCAGAAGATATCAATTTTTGGGAAAGAGTTTGGCTTTCTACTTCTCCATCTTTATACAAAAATTGTGAGAACCTTCCAAAGAAAGGAAGGAAGCAATTATTCTCAAAATAAACTATAAAGATGTGTAGATCAGGAATGCTTGAAGACGCACTCATACAAGTTTGTTATTTCGCAACATCGATATCAACCATTGTGGATGACAGCATTTCATTTCCGTATAATATAGATTAGATTAGATTTTTTTATTGGTCAAGTTATTACACCTTAGTGCTGTGACAAGTCAATAATGTATAAAATATGGCCGAAAGTGAAGGTAGTGTTTCAGATAGGCTAAAGATAAAGTGCAAATAATGTAAAAAAAAAGTTCTCGTCAGGATTAAGTTGTGTGAAATGTGAATCAGTTTATCACAAAGCATGTGCAATCAGAACAAAAACATGTTGTGATGAACCAATAAAGGAGAAATACACCGTAGAATCGGGTATTATTGAAGAAGCATTTTTATTGGAGGAAAATGCATTACTGAAGCAAATCATTTCATATAAAAACACAATTATCGAAGATAAAGAACATTTAATCAAACTACTAAATGAAAAAGTATCCTTTCTAGAAGAAAAATTGCGACTCCAAAATGTAAATAAAACTTCAACTACCTATAAGAAACAACAACAGACCATACCAACAAAAAAAAATACCCTAGAATCCAATGTCAAATTAACTGATACAAAAAAAGATTCAGTAGCACAAACGAACAGAACCAACTGGGAACAAAACGACATAAAAAGTATGAGTCATACTGAAGAAAATAAAGTAAATATCTTGGAAGTATTAGACATTCCCACTTTACAGGGTGTACCAACTATTAATTCCAGCCCTGTGGCAACTGAAATAATGAAGGTTCAGAGTGAACAGAAGCTTAAGGAAATAATAAACTTGGAAAATGATATCCAAAATAATGAGAATACGAAAGGGAAGGAGAATCTCCAAGAACCAGACAGTCCTTTCAAAACAGTTAGACGTCGAAGAAAGCAAAAACCAAAATACCAGATTGGACAAGCGGCAGTGAGTGTAGAGGATGAAACTAACAGTTTTGTAGGGAGAGCTAGTGAAAGTCGAATTTGGCTTTTTATAACAAAAGTCAAGGATCATGTATCAGAAGAAATGATAATAAATTAAGGAAAAGACGATTAAAAAAAATCTGATCTATGTCAAAGAAATTGACACATTTAAAAAATATAAAGACAATAAATGTTTCAAAGTGGGCCTTGACTATGTATTAAAAGCTGCTGCTTATACTAGTTCCTTCTGGCCACGGGGGGTAGCGGTCCACAGGTTTTATTTTAGGAAAGAGGAGAAATACATAAGAAATAACGAAAGCAAAAGTACAGAAATTGATGATTTTCTTACCGTCCTACATATTTATGAATATCCAAGGCATATCAAACAAATGTGATTCCCTTAGCGTTATGCTGACATCGTGCAATGCAGATATAATATGTATGGACGAACACTGGCTAACTGACAAAGAAATGGAGGTAACTGTGGTAAAAAAATTTAAATTAATTTCCTACTTTGCACGATCCTGTCATGGTAGAGGCGGAGTATGTATATATGTAAAACATGGTCTTGAGGTAGTACCAATCTCATTTAAAAAAAGTGTGGGGAAGAATTTCGAAGCATGCCTAGCTAGAGTTAGAATTCCAAAGACTCAAAATGCAGTATGGGTTATGGCTGTATACAGAACTCGAAAGAGTGACTTTAAAGACTATATACATAACATGGAACTAGTACTGCATGAAATTCATAACAATAAGGACGATTACATTATTTGTGGTGATGTGAACGTAAATTTTCTTGAAAATAGCTCAATGAAATTGTCCCTAATAAACCTAATGTCAGAATATAATATTAGTCACCATATACATGAACCCACACGAATAACAAAACGAAGTGTGACGTGTATTGATAACATATTCTCTAGTCTGGAGGTGAGTGATGTAAAAGTTTGTAACTCCTTTTTGTCAGATCATACATACCAAACATGCTCGTTTAAACTGACTTCCTTAGAAATTAGTGAGCCTAAATATACCTATAAGAGAAACTTCAATAACTTAAATAATCAAACCTTTCGACATCTCCTGTCTAATGAAAAATGGGCGGATATGTATGAAGCTTCTACATTTGAAAACAAGTTCTCTTCTTTTTATAATACCTTCCTTTACCACTATAGTTGTGCTTTTCCCTTGACTCGTAAACCTAATAATCCAAATAAAGTTAAAATATGGTTCACACCTGAAATAAAGCTAATGCATGACCAACTCTGCAAAATGGACAAAATTAGAAAAGAGGTTGATGATCCACACTATACAGAACACTATAAACAAATAAAAAAGAATATAAAAACCTAGTGAAACAACATCAGAGAAGCAGAAACGATAACAGAATAATAGAATCTAATAACATTATGAAAGATAGCTGGAAAATCATAAATGAATCAAAATC